ATATAAAAAATTTTGAATTCAGGTTCATTAATACTGAAAAATGTCAAAAATAAAAAGTTTCTCCCCCCCTTCAGAAAAAAATACTCCAATCTACTTGGAAACCCTGATGGTAGAAAATTGTGTAAAAATTACATTAAGTACAGGGTAATCTAAGGTTCTTTCAAGGATATAGAATGCCTAACATTGGTTAAATCAGTATCCCACTCATGGCTTAGCTGGTTGTTTTAAAAATTATAAATTACAAGCTTAGCTTTTAATTTATAATTGTTAACACAAGCTAAGCTATGAGTGGTTCTATAAGTGTAGCTCTTAAGAAGTTAACTTTTTAAAAAGATTCTATAACATCCAACCTCTATTTGTAGACATACTTTAGATCTACATTCACAGGCTTGAAGAACTATTCTGATTTGTCTCTTTGTATTTAAAAGATTAAATAATTTATTCATTACAAGTGAGCATCTAAAGCCTCAAGATACTTTGAAGAGATCATTTTGGGAACAAGAAGATGCCTGCAAAGTTAAAATATGATTTCATCAAATTACCCTCATGCAGTTGCAGCTGCATTCCTAATTACTAGGGAATGACACAGTACAACATAACCATAGAAGCTTTTCACAAGCAAAGATAGCATGACATTTAGTGTCCTCTCAACAGTATGCAAACAACAAAGCTTGTTGACAAATCACTTTATTTGAGGAGGGACTGGCAGGAACGATCCCAACACACTAGAAGCTTTTCATAATCAAAGATAGCATTAATTTGTTATCACAAATGCCACCAACATACTAAAATGTGCCAACACTATTTTTGCATATCATACCCACATGTTTAACACCATGTCATGAATTCACAACATACATGGAGTTGTTTGTGGACAAGCTCGCAAACAATATTTCCTATGCTTAGATGGGATTTTCCTATCAAGAAGTGAAGTCTTTGAATGAACTCCCATGATGAATTAGATCCTTAACTTCTACCCTTACATTCAAGATAGCATTAGCTTAAAAGTGAACTTTAGAGCTAATCCAAAATCTTTTCAGGATTTATCTGAACCTTTTTTTTTATCTTTTATATGTTGTTTATCTTAATGAGCCCCTTTAACACAATGATGGCTTATCTTATCCTGTTCACTACTTTTTAAAGTTATCACTACTGCAAAAGTCAGAAAGTGAATGGAGTCTGAATCTTAAAGGAGATATGGCCTATCACCCAGATTTTTTTTCTAAAAAAATTTATTTCCCGTTCTATGTTCAGCTGTTTCACTACCAACATCTCATTAGCAACTCTTCTTACTGTCTATCATACAATTCTTTTGATGTTAGCTCAGAGAATTTGGTATTGGATCAACTAATAAGCCCCTCATTGATTTTTTTGCTTTATTCTCAACACTTGTCTGCTTAATATTGTATTAATATTATAGGGAGAAATTACATCTTGGTCACTCATGGGAGCTCAAGGCTTAACCATTGAAGTAACTCAAATTGTACCTTGTTCTTACCTGATGGGCAATATAAACATGAGTAGAACAGGAAACACCATCTTATTTATGAACTTTTCAAAGCAATTCCTTAAGAAAATAAATTTAAGAACAAATGAGGTCAACTGGCCTTTGAAGTTCTGAGTAGAGCTGCAAAGCAAAATAACTATTAGGTAATCATATTACCCTCTACTCCTTTTTGACATTGCCATAGTACAAGTACTTTATCATAATTTTATTAGAATCTCACCACTTTTCTGATTTCTGCAAACAACAATTTCATGCACAATCCACAGGCTTTTAAGGGTTTTCTTACCCCTCTGCTCACAGTTAGTAAAGGTGATCTGACTGGTTGAGATACTCAACAGATATTTTTACTAACAAGCCATTTTTCAGTTTTTGGACATTATTCTGATTGACGTTCAATAGCATTCCAATCACTTTGAACTGACCTACATTAATTCCCTATCTGTTTAATTTTCTGAGTGTAAGATTAGGGAGCTCTAAACCTAAGCTGGTCACTAGTCATTGGTTTTACCCAGCTTACCCACTCACTTCTGTTAATTATTTGCTACTGTATAAAAACAAACTTGATTTGTCATCTTGATTATGAAAAAGGTTCAAAGGAATCTTTAAATGGTTGGGTATATAATTATAGAATTCTCTATCTCTACACTGAAAGATATCAAACTCACATTTCAAACACATGCCCTCTATCTACATGCTCCTCAGTATCTGCCAGTGCCCTGACATGGAATAACAAATGAGGAAGGGCAACATGTACCTATGGCAGGCCAAAAATTGATAGAAAGCCATTGACTACAGCCACAATAAGTAAATCCCAATGGTATGCACTACCATGGGTGATTTTTTTTTTCTCATGAATCGTGATTTGAATTTTTTATTGGTGAATCATGGTTAAAGATGTTAAGATCTTTTCATGTCCATGTGAACAAAAATTTTCTTGTTTGAATGTGACCTGTGAACTAAGAGCTGAATTAAATGTGACTGGTGAACCATTTTGTTCTGTTTGATGAATTTCCAGCAATTGTTTTGAAAATGTACGTACTTTTCTTGAACAGTTGTGGTTCATGGTAGGTTTTGATTTGAAAATATAAAAGTCATAAAACCGACCACTGATGGTTCTTGAACAAATAAGATAAGACATTATATTGTCTTTTGTCACATACTACTGGTCATGACTAGAAAAGTGAAATATTAATTCAAGGTGATTCTCTTGAATTTCATGTGAACATGAAAGTTTTGGATAATTATTATTTGAGGCACCTGAAAAATACCCAATATTTTGATGCAATCAAGTTTGACAAAGGGGCACAGGGGACCCTTTAAAACTTTGGCTAATTAGGTAATGAGTAAGTCTTGATCAATCAGACCATAATCAGAGATTATTAGACAATCAAGTTCCAAAAGTAATGAACTGATTATCACAGTTTCACTTCAAGCAGTGTTTTTGGAGCAAGAGAAATCAGGCTTTGACAAGACTTCTACTCCTGCCTCCTAAATATTAGTCAATTTTGCTGGCCTGTCAGTGGCATGATAGCAGTATTTTCCTACAGTTTATCTACCCTTCAGTCGGTATAAACAGCCTAGAGACCAGTCATTATTAATTGCCTGGGGGGAAGGGGAATGGAGAATTTTGCAGAGATGATATGGTTTTCAGGATAGAATGTCATTGCCAACAGAGTATAAAGGGGTAATATAGACTGGGGAAGGACTATGGAGGATTTTGGAGTAATCATATGGTTTTCAGAGTGGAATGGAGGAGTGATCAGTCATTGCCAACAGAGTATAAAGGGGTAATATAGAGGGATGAGGGGAGTAAAGGATTTTGAAGGAATCATATGGTTTTCAGGGGGGAATAGAGGAGTGGTCAGTCATTGCCAACAGAGTATAAAGGGGTAATATAGAGGAGGGGAGAGAGTGGAGGATTTTGGAGGGATCATATGGTTTTCAGGGTGGAATATAATGGAGAGGTGATTTGTCATTGTGAACAGAGTATAAAGGGGTAATATAGAGGGTTGACTACCAATTGATCGCCAATGAGGGGGGGAGGGGAGGGGAATCTTTAAAACACTACAGAGCCTTATGGGGGGGGGGGTAAATCAGGTAAATTTTATTGTCAACACAACTAAAAACTTCCAACTGCCCAAGAGATAAATAATGGCCAGTACCTAACCAATCAATCTGATCAACTATTATTTGTCAGTCAACATATCAGACTATTCTGTTCACAGACAATGAGACAATCGAATATTAGAGATTATGTCCATTAAAAGCCAATCTGTCAATGTTCAAGTTGATCGGTCATAAAATTTGTTGGCGAATAAGCTTGGTTTCAAAGTAAAATTTCAATACGTTTCCCTCGGGGGAAAAAACCCAACACCAATTTACCTACCTGAAGGCATTTGCGAAGTTGATTTGTTTACCAATGAGTATCAATCATAAACAAGCACTCTGGGTTCTCTCTCTCTCTCTGACTCTTCCAGCAGCTGAAAACGTGGAGTAAAATCACCAAGTTCACACCTCCGGCAATTAAACATCCAGAACTTCCAAAAAAAAGTAGCGAAAAATACAAACTAACCGGTGAAAAAACACATTTTGAAACGGTCCGCAAGGTTCCACGTTAGGAATGGATTACTGCAAGGAATGCTAGGAGGCAAATACTCTCCTCTTTATGGGTAGGGTCAGTAGCACTAAGAATAACTATGCGATAGGAGGTACAGATCGTTATTAATGAAAGGTTCTATTTTTTATGGCGATTTTTGCAAGACTAGGAGCCTATCAATAGGCTTCTGAGAAGACCTTGGATTTTTATCATGATTAAGAAAGGGGGGGGGAGGGGGGAGAGAAAGGGAAATCTTTTTCTTCAGTTTCTTTCCCAGGCCCTCCCCAGTGTACACGGATATGAGAAGGTTACAAGGTCAGACCTCTGACCTCTGTAATTGGGGGATGGTAGTTTATTATTATCAACTTAATTTTCATTGTTCTTATCATTATCTTCATTGTCAACATGATTATCATTGTTACAACAATGGACTGGATGTTTTATTGCCGGAGGTGTGCTTTTCTATCTATTTCTTATCATTATCATTGGCATTATTTCTTCCTCTTGATACCTTCTCTCTCCAATAACCATTGTTGCAGTAACTATGCTCACAAGGTTTGATTATGACCTGTTTGGAAATTTGGAGTTTTTTTTGTTATGAGCTGTTTGGCCACCCAACTCCTCTACCCTAGGAACTGGAAGCCTAGGTGTGAAAGCTTAGGTATGGTTCCACCCCCCCCCCCCCCCCCCCCCCCCCCCCCCCCCCCCCCCCCCCCAATTTCTGTGCCTCATCTTATCATCACTAAGCCTATCTTTCTCAATGTTTGTTTGGAAGAGCCCTCAGTCACATTGCCAATAAACAAAAAATCATCAAACCCCAATCATAACTAAATGTAACATGATTGAATGAATCACGGTATTTTTTAAATTATTGTTCTAGGCAGATAAAGCAAGAGATCTGCAAAGGGCATAGGCAATCACTGCAGATGTGCAATAAGGCAAAGTGCAGTGTTAATATTTGTTTATTAAGAAGCTGTATGAGGGTCAAAACCACAACTTTCACTGAAATATTTGTACTAGCCAATGCTCAACAGAATTATATTACAGATATAAGCAATCCTTGCAGCTATGAACACTACTGAACTAGTAGTTGAAATAAGACCTGAAAAAAATCCAGGCCCATATGGGATTTGAACCCATGACCTCTGTGATACCAGTGCAGTGCTCTACCAACTAAGCTAACAAGCCAACTGGGAGCTGGTCATAATGTTGGGCCTGAATTTTTTCATAGATTTATATTAATACTACTTCTTCTTCAGAGGCTACCAAACCTTGTGAAGTAACTTGTGCCACAAGTAGGACTACAACCCATGTGGCATGTTCTCATATTCAAATTTATCTTTTCATGGCAGTGGTCTAAAAAAGCTTAGGTTTGATTATAAAACCATTTCTGCAAGAGGCTAATGCTCAAATTGTCAGCTTTAAAACTCTTTACAGAGGCCATTTTCTCTTATTAACTCAGTTGATACTTTTAAATTACCCTACAAGAGGATTTGCCTGTATTAAGCATCATTCACACAAAAAACTTGGCATGGAACTCTGACTCTGATATATTTATCCTTCATATTTTTTTTAAATCTAAGTCAATCTAAAAAAAGACACCAACCAAGTTGACCATGCTTGTTCAACCTTCAACAGTACCTGCTTTAGGTCTTAAGTAAAATAACTACAGAAAGTATTTCCCATGCAAATGCACTTTACCCAGTACATATTTCAAAACTCTGCAATGCTGTTCTTAATCTTGTGGTAAAATTATCACATAACAATTAAGTTTACCTTTCCTGAGTATTTACCACTTTTAACTATTTGTTTGATACTGGTCTATAAAAAAATTATGGTTATCATAGGTCTAAGTTGACTAAAGGCTGATTCAACTTTTTATCAGTGTACCTGGTTTATCAGTTATTAGACAAGTTAAAACTGTAACATTTAAATTTAAGTAAATTTACCAAAGACAAGGTTCTTCATCATTATCACAAGATTCTTACAAGGCTCCTCCCAGCTATACTTCTTCAGGTACTCTTCACGTAGAAATCTTGACTCTGAAAGTCGCACTTCTCTCTTTTTCTGACGGACACACTTGATTGCTTTGGCCCAGTCTTTAGGATCTTCCAAATCTAACACACTCTGTGAGCCTAAAGGCACTTCCTTCAGAGCTTCTCCAAGTCCAGAATTACCACTGACAAGCACAGGCAGACCAGCAGACAATGCTTCGAGAGCTGTAATTCCAAAACCTTCAGTCCTGGATGGCATTATTGCAAGATCCACTTCACAGAATAAGTTAGCTAGCACTTCTCTGCTATCATCAAAGCTGCGAACAATAAGCTGATTACGACTGATGCCATGGTGGAGCAACTTTTCTGCTACAATATCTCCTTTTCCTCCAGCTGCGCAGACAAACTTGAGTTTGTAGGATTCATCTTTTAACTCAGCAATTGCTTTGGCAGCTATGTCGTACCCTTTGACATTGAAATCTTCACAGCTATCACCACTTCCAATAACAAGAATACAGAATGTTCTTCTTTCTTCAGTGGCTTGCTCTACTTCCAAAAACTCAGAGAAAACACTTGGAGTAAGGTCAAAAACATTTTCCTCTTGTTTAACTTGATGAAGGTGACGCTTGTAAGCTTCTGCCAGCTTGGGTCCAATTGTGATAACTTGGTCAGCCATTTTACAGAGTTGAATTTCTGCTTTTTGCAATTTTTCACCTTCTGAAATGCTTTTGTACATTCCATCTTCTTCAGGAGCAGAGTGAACTACTTGAATCCATTTGCAATGACTGTAATTTGGATTTCTCTTGATGAATGCTATTGGTCGGCCTAGCTGAACTCCATGACCAATGACACAGTCCATTGTATGGTTTATTGGAGGAGATGACAGCCAAAGAACTGGTTCAACACCAGGAACTTCATCTGCTTCAATAAGCTTCACATTGTGACTTTTTGCACTAATCCTGTCCTCTCCACTGCAATTTGGAAGCAAGACACTAACATCCACATTGGGGAGTTTAGCTAACTGGATGGCCAGCTCTCGGTTGATAGTTGACAAGTCCCCATCAGTTGATGATCTCCACTCACTACTAAGCAAAGTGACTTTTAGTGTCCTGTTTCCCTGGTCCTCTTGTGATGTAGAGGCTACACCAGCAATAGTGGAATCCTACAACAACAAAACAAGAATGGTATCAACAATAAGCTTTGCAACAATAATAAATCACAATAATGGATGTCCACTCAATATTTTGTTAACTTGCATATACATGCAGATTGAGACAAATCTAAACCAGGAAAATATTAAGTTCCTTCTGAGATCTTCACCTTCACTGTCTCTGATAACAACCATTACAGTTACAAGGAAAGTAAAAATTATCCTTTAAGGATATTCCTTTTCAACTCACTTTGAAATTGGTACATGTAGTTTTATTGAATTCATTTAGTTGAAAAAACAAGGAGGTGAATGAATGTTTTTGCCAAAATCAAAGGTTGGTATTTGTAACAGATTTAGATTCCTCTTACTACCTTTTGTAGCCTTGACATCACAGGAAGCTTTTAATTTTGAAGAATTAAGCTGAAAAAAACAAAACAAAACAAAATGTGGGTTCACAGTCCATTGATGCTCTCTACTTCCTCTTGGAGTGTTGTTGAGACCAGTTAACCCTTTCATTCCCAAGATCTAATTAATAATTCTCCTTACTCTCTGTTATACAATTCTTATGATGTTAGTTCAGAGAATTTGGTATTGGATCAACTAATAACCCCATGATTGATATTCTTCTCTATTCTCATCACCTGCCTGCTTGATATTGTATTGATATTGTAAGGAGAAATTCTGACTTGGTCACTTGTGGGAGTGAAAGGGTTAAGGCAGTACCAGAGGCTAACTTGACCTCTTTGGTATCCCTTTATTTTTTCATATATTTAAGTAGGCTGTTCAAGTAGGCTATTTGTAAAATTTGATGATTGGAAAATGGCATGTAATAATGAGAAGAGATAATTGACAGAGAGCCATTTATCTATGATAAAAAAAATTATCAAGATTTCTGATAAAATCAATTTCATTTTGACCTGTGGATGAAATTCAATTGCAGAAATGATCCTTAAAGGTATTGCAATGTAATTTAAGCAATTGCAGAGTGGATTCTTCTGCAGGATTTTACTGAAGCTTATAGAAGACAATCCCAATATACTTTTTTCAAGTCTAAAAACCAATTAAAAATCCTGATTGAAATGCTGGATTTACAAATAATTTTTTTGAAAACCCAAAATAATTTGTGATCCAATAATTTTGTCATGAAGTCCAGAAAAATGGATGAATGAATGAACTCGAGCTCCTCTTTGAAACTTATACCAACGGAGCCTTCTTTTTGAAGTCCTCAGTAATACTTCAGTCAATTTGAAGTTCCAAAATCCCTCCCACTCCCACTGACAACCCCTTGAGCATTTGCACTTTTGAAAACTTCACACCTTGAAACACCTTCATGTTAAAAAAAAAAAAAGTCTATTTTGCTGGAAAGACTTGACAGTTCTGATTCAAATTCCTCACCCCATCCAAGCAAGATTCAAACTCCCCAACCCTCCCAAGGCAGAAAAAAAACCTTTTTGGCCTGTTAAAGCTCAATGAGAAGCTAGGAATCTGCTTAATACCAACCAACCTGATGACATAACAGCATTCTAAAACTAGGAAACATATCACTCTTATTTGTAAATTGGTTGGCCACTAACATCCATTGATGCTGGATCATTTTAAAAAATTCTTAAGTGATTTCAAACAAGTGCCCAGAGCTCATATCTACTGATTCAATCCAAAGTAAATAAAAAATCAGCAATGTTAAAGGCGTGGAAAAGTTACAAACAAGATCCACAAATAGGGAACTGCAAATGCACTTAAAAACATAAAACAGACACTGAATATGTTTGAGAGAAAGTAACATCCTTAGTCTATGCCATGAAAAACCACCTCTCATCAAACCCCGAAAATGATGTTACAAAGTGTATGATTAAATAAGTTGATTGAGCTAAAAAATATTTATTCACCTTATCCGTCGAGTTAGTAGTGACTAAAAATATTTTTCACACAAGTCCTCCCTAAATTCTGAGAGACACATGACCAGCAACCAGGGTACTTTCTTAAGGCAGAAAGAGAGAAAGGATCTGGAAACAAGGTTGGGTTTTCATTCCCGTAAAGGGATCTGAACACAATTTCGACTACCCTCTACTTCAGAAGTGAGATGCCGATTAAGGAAAATAAATCCAGATTTTAAACGAACGAGTTGTCCTCCACAAATTTCTTCATTTCACTTTATAGATGAGATGCAAATTTGCATTCGAAACACATTTCTCATGCGTGGATTACTAAGCATTTCAGCTGAAGGAAATTCCACAATCCTAAAATTAAAGCGTTCCACATGCGACGGATAATCCATCACTTATTCGGATAAGTGGGCCGAAAACGTACACAATTCATGGTAACACGTTTTTTGGTACCTTCTCGTTTATAACACCTCACAATTTTAAAGACATGCGATGCAACGAAGGCACAGACGATGCAAATCCAGGGAAATCACGCACATCAATTCACACTTTTAACGTACATTTAATTGAGAAAGTTTAACAAAATCAGATACATCCCTGATTGAATGGACTTCTTTGGAAGAAGTAACATTGATTTGACAAAGAAGAAGAACTTGACGCAAGTTTCCAGCCGACGCAAACGTTGCGAACTCAGCACATTTGTAGGGAGTCACGAACGATGGGAATCAGAGATTTTCAAATTTGCATGTCTTCTCACGATAAATAGTTTTAGGACAACCTACACATTTAAAGATATCAAGAGAATCTTTTTAACAGAAAGTGCCATCGAACAGGTCCTGAAACGAACAAAAATCGTAATTCTTTAATCGAATACCTTTGATCACTGACGCAAATGTAAACCGTTGTCGATTATTGCCACTGGTTTTTGGTTTTCGCCGGTGAACCAATCAATCGAAGACATGATTACGAGCTGAAGAAATATTGAGCTCAACCCCTGATTGACGCAAAAGCTCCCTCGCTAGGAAGTCAGCTTCGTCTAATAGAAACTTTCCGCATTGATTAGGAGAAAAGAGATCGCCTGGAGAGCGTGGGTAGTTCTAAATCATTTGGTCACATGATTAATTTACCTGCAACGATATGGACAGTGGACTACGGGACGGTGGATAAGGAAGTGTGCTTGACAACGTCCTTTGGGAGTTAAAGGGGTACAGCACTGGAATGCAGTTAATTGATAAGCTATAAATAAATTGGGAGTTATAATTTGTTTATCTGCTATACACTGCAGTCTAGGAGTAATTTCCTCATTTCTTATATCTTTCAATTTCTGTCCCAAAATATCTATGAAACTGGGGAGAAATAAACCCTTTTTGGTCTGTTAGGAGACACATCACTCTATACTTAAGAGGGGTTGGCCGCTAAAAAAAATTATTTCCTTAAGGAACTGGTAAAACTTCAGGATTCTGGGCAGCATAAACATCACATTGACTTCTGGTAGTTTCACAGTTGGCTTTCTATCCTGTCTCTCAAATAAACAAGTCGTTCTTGATTCTTAATAAAACAAAATCTTTTTCCTATGTAATAAATCCTTAACTGACCAAGCTTGTTTGGTCAAGAAGGCTGGATATTAGCCTCATTCTTTTTCACGTTTTGATGGATTTCGACTTTGTCTCGTTCCATAGAAACGCAAGAAAAGAATTCTACCAATATCCAGCTGTCTTGAGTGGGTGGGTGGGTGAAAAGGAGGGTGGGTCAGAGAAGAAGGGAACAGGAAGTGAATGAGAGGAAGGGAGATAGGAAGTAATCTGGAAAAAAATCTAACAGTTAGTTACCATGAAGTCACTAAATGCTGCTCCAGAGAATATTTAACTATGTTCACTTCACAGTCATGGCAGTGTTTGTGTGATAGTGATTAGATAATTCTTACCTGATCTATTGACTTTCAAGAGTGGTTTGCAGAGTTTAAATATCCTTGAGATTTCAGCAAGTCCTAGGCCTGAAAAAAAAAAACAGGAACATAAAATAATACGATCCAAATAAATGCATATCAAAATAAAACTCTGCATCAGTTTCACACATAGTGACTTAATGGCCACAATTATATAACAATAATTCATAGCAAACTCAACTTAGTCACTTGGTTAAAAGATCCATGCACATAATTGCCTTTAAGTAAGAGTTATCTATCTCCTTGTTATGGTAAACTTTGTTAATAATCCATAATCAGGAGTACTTTGGCTTTGATTTTGACATTTTACTTGAAAAGCTTTCTTAAAAGAGACTGATTTACCGACTAAATGAAATCACGAATATTTGTAATACAAGGAAGGTACAGTAATGCAAGTAATTGCCTAAAGCCATAGAGACACACCCTCATCCCTTGTTAGGGAAATTTTCCACAGTTCCCCAGTCCTCTTGCTAATAATAACATTCCAAATTTCCAACCTGAATACAGAAGAAGAATGATGTATACTCCTTCATTTCCATGATTTGACTAGTGTCTTCAGATTTTCTTCCAAATTTTTAATGGAATTTGGTATTATGATACTTAACACTTGTAACCCTCTAAACCCTGATATCAGTATGCATATTCTCCATGCTGTTATTTATACATTTTATAAGGTGCTGAAAAACTTCATTTCCACTGTTTTCTGACTTTTGTATTGACATTGTGAGGAGAAAATAATTACTATCTCCTTTTAGAGTTTCAGTGTTCAACAACCAAGATCAGCAAGGAAATGTTGTAGCACAACTAAATAACTATGAAAACATTTGAATATTCAATCATTTATTGCTCCAATGCAATTAATAAAAACAACCATCACCTCTGTCACTGCAGCAAAGAATGAGTCTCTTTCACTATGCTGGAAAGTGGTCATGTAAATTGGAGCACTGGCTGCCAAGGCAACATCAACCACATTTGGATATTTGAACCTCATGTAAGCACTCAGTATTCCACCATAACTGAAAACCAATCAAGGACAGATTAATGCTACAGAATATGTCATCAGAGCACTTTACTTTCTGAGACCTTGCTGAGTCACATGGAAAATGAATTACAACATTACAAATACTGTAGTTTCTATGCAGGTGACAAAAACAACTGTAATTTTTTTAAAAGTTATGCTACAATGTACCTGCCACCAAAAGCAACAACCTTACTCTATGTGGCCTTAAACTGAATCTTAAGATCAGTCAATAGGAAGGCATAGTCTGCAAGGGCTTGCTCCACTGAAAGGTAACCAACTTTATCATGATCAAATGAGGATGAACTAAATGGAAGGGAATCTCCAAAGTATCTCTAAAAAAGGATGAACACAGAGCACAACAAATTTAAGGTAAAATGCACTTTTGCTTGCTTGAAATCAGAGCATCAGATATTCAACATTCAGTAAAATTTCCGCACAGCCCCATACCACGTTATGCATTCAGTTCTTGGATAGAGAAAACAATGACAAAAGCAATACATTGCCATTGATAAAACAGATTTGTTTTACATTAGTATGAGGCTGTGTGGAAATTTTACCCAACATTCACACAAAGCATCCTTGTGTACTCACATGTTCACCAAAAATAACCAAAGCATTGAACTTCTGAGCTGCTTCGAAAACAAAGCCTGAGTTTTCCCTAAAACTAGTTATTGGTCCTTCATTGCCAGTGTAAAAGAAAATTGGTCCTTTTTCATCCCAGTACTGATCTGTGACACAAAATTTAGCAATAGGCTTAACAAATTATTCCACTCAGAACACCTCCATGTTTTTGCAAGTATCACAAGCCATCCTCAGGAAACAGGCCCCAAAACTGGTGTCTCAAGGCCTCAGAATGACAAATTCTAAATATTTACTGGCGTGGGGTTTCAATAACTTATTCCATATGTGGCTGCTGATGGTGTAACAGACAGCTGTCTAACAGACGTAAGAGGTCTTATAAGAAGTGATAGACCTCCAATAACCAACCTTTGAAGATACTGCTGCAGATTCTGTTTGTTGGGGGGGGGGGGGTTCAGTGCCTGGTTCTTAACTTACTTCAATTCAAGCTATTTTTTACTTCACAAGTCCATAATCAAACGTAAGTACATAGGCAATCAGTTGCAGATTGAAATTGTTTCCTATGGGTGTCCCCTCTTCCGCTCAAAGATAGACATGCAGCCATATAGGATTTTCTGTGATCCTTTCCCAGGCTTTCCTCCCCCACTCAATCAACCCCCCTTCCAAAACAAAAGAGCACAATCAGAACACTGGGCCAGAAATGTATTTAAAATATTTAATCTGTGTCGCTTTTAATCCTCATAGCCTCTCTTTTTCCCAACATAGTGATTGCTCCACGCTCATCTACTGTTCAACATACCTTACTTAAATTTTCTTCACTTCAGCACAATTACTTAACTGTTTAAGAGGAATTCGTTTAAAATACGGGTGATTTCATTCTCAGAGGTATTGCATACTTTTAAAATTCTGTTCGATAACATGCTGGCTAAGAGTGGGATAGCTGTTTTGTTTGCTTGAGACGATCATTCGTTCCAACAAATTATGTAATCTCACAGAAGGTGAACTTTATAAATATACTTAAGTAGAACCTGATTTCTCACAGTGTCGATTACATCAGCTTTGGGAAAGAGAGACATAAGATTTAACCGGGCTCTCTAACAAACTAAACAGCTTCACCTCCAAAGCTCCATTCGAGTAAGGAATTACGGTAAGCGCCCTTAGTAGATACCTGTATAGAGATATCGCTGTTTAAACGCGACCTTACTGGCTTGGACAAAGTTGAAATGATCGAGATCTTGTCCAAAGTAAGCTGTCTTGTAAGGAATAGTAGCCCCCACGACGACAAAATAAGAAGAAACCACGACAAGAAATTCCGCGCAGGGAGCCATCTTCGTACAAAGTTGCACGTAAGGGTTTTGTAACAAGCTAACCTTTAGATTGCGTGACTTTGGGTGACGAATCATTCGACCTGTCACGTCACCGAGACCACTGAAACATCATTATAATAGGGCTGATTATTGGATTAAAACAAACAAAAACGCGTACACAAAAACGAGAAAATGTAGATGTTATTATCAAAAAGTTTATTGTTCTTAAAAAGACACTCATCAACAGCATGAAACCAACACAAGGCTTTTGAATCTCATCCAAGTCTCATGTCTAGTCTCTGGCTATTACATGAAATCATTAAAATTCAAATTCCTTCATAAGGTCTAATTCGTAATTAGCATGTTTCGATGCTCCATGTAAATTTTATTTGAAGTTGTGCACCATAAATTGACTTTTCTTTGAAATGCTATTTCTTTTATACATCACAAAATAAGACAGGTCTGGTTATTATAATTGAATTGATGCATAAGAAAACATTATTAAGAAAACTGTAGTTATTGTCCATTGAGATTTATAATGTTGCTCTAATGTAAGAATTTTTGGATTAGTTCCAGTTCTTGTTTTCGTGCTTGTGTCACTGCTGGAGGGTCCAGTGGATTGGAAGCTCTGGATATCAAAATTAAATACATCAGTAATTAATAAAACTGAACTAGTAATAATTATCAGAAAACATTGTGAAAACCAGCTTGAAGCAGATGCTTTTCTTTTAAACCTACATAGCAATCTACCAAAGGAGATCAGGAATCACTGATAAAAGTTTATCCTTCAGGTAAAAATCTAATAATAAATTAATAATAAATCCAAAAAGAAACAAATTTAAAAATGAAGGTTGCACACCAGGAAGAATGAAGGAAATCTCCAAATAGGAATTTACCACCCAATGTGCTCCAAGATCTCAGATAAAATTCTCTCAAACCTCATCATATGTTTAGATATTGGCTAGAGTAGAGACATTGACCTTCTATCAGGAGGTAACTCATAGCTGACAATTTTCTTTATTCTCATTACCTGCCTGGCTTAACCTCTATAAGAAAAATGCAAGGAGAATTTTCATATTGATCAATTTGGTCACTGAAAAAGTTAAAACATACCTCAGATCAAGATGGTGAGCTCCACCTTTGACCAGAAGTGCCACCAGTGTTGGTGAGACATCTTCTAACACCTAAAATATAATCAATACATTTTAAATCCAACAACCATCTATGATTCCATCAATGATGGAAGCAACAAGAGCCTTCAAATACCATTAACTTACCCCACCAGGTCTCCATGGATCCAGGTCACCATTGGAAAAAATAATATTAGAAGATGAAGATATATCTGAAAAACCATTTAATACAATAAAGTGTCTTTTATTCTTGCACTACAATTAGGACTTCTCTGACCATAAAACTAGAATGAGGAAGGTTTCACAGTGACTTAAACACTAACTGAGAAACTCAGAAAACTGTGGTCACTGAAATAAGTGTGAAATACTATTGTATCAAGGAAAATAAATCCATCAAGCATGAGAAATTTTCAATACAGACAGGAATCCTAGTTTTAAGATTTGTTTTCAAGTCTCATCTGATTAGTCATCGCACATTCTGGACTTTTTCCAGGTATTTTAATTTTGACAAAAATTCTGGATCACTTTTAAAATCAAATACTGATATTGCTGCCATTCAGAAAGGAAAAGGGGTGGATCTATGAGAATGGGATTTGAAACAATTGTGTAACCCAATGCTTAGCATGATAGAGTCAAGATCACAAGGTCAGGTTTAATCAAGCCCTGCTCAGCATCACAATCACATGCTGTGCACAACAATTGATTCACACTCATTCCTACCAGGAGTGCTTTTGGGTGGCAGTTGAGCTTACAAAGGAAATCATGTCAGGGAGATCAAGTCAACAGCAATCATTTAACATCCCATCCAGATTAAGTGGCAAAGGGAATGGTCAAGTCTTACCCTGTTTTTAGTGCCTGCCTTAATAAAATTCTTCCTTTTCAATCTAACAAAATCTCTTACTATGTATTTCAATGTCTTAAGGAAACCAACCTTTCCCCCAGAACTGTATGGGTGCCCAGTTAGGTTGAGGTATCACACCCCATTTTTTCTGGCAGTATGTGGATATCATTTCTGGAGTCCATGGCAGAGGTGGAAACATGTCTGTCTTGTTGTTAGAACCAGCTGGAAGAGTGAGCTCAGCACAAGCCTGAAAAGATGAAATATAAATCTTATTTTGACAAATTGAAACAAACAAAATTCTTGAATAGTTCAGTGGACAGGCAAAGCTTGGATTATATGTTACATTTGTTTCCTGAACATGAGCAGGCAAGAAAGGTTCATTCTTTATAGGAAATGATTCGAGAAGGAAACTTCACATGGAATAATCACTTAAAAAATCCGGTAAAGTCATGTCAGCTCATAAGCCAGCCATTATTTACATGTATATCCAATTATGATTTCATCTGGTTTCTCAGAAAGTACCCTTGCACCCCTGAACAGAAAGAGATCCTGAATAGATGAAGCCTCTTACACAACACAGTGATTCCATCAGAGTTTAAACTGGGAGCTTTAGAGATGGAGCATAGCACACATAATACTTAGCCAATGATCCTAACTAGTTCCTATATCCCATGGAGACCATAGTTAACCCTTTACACCCTAACATCATTATGCATACTCTCCATACTGTTCTCCATACATTTCCTAGGTTCTAAGAAGGAGAATTTGTAAAACCATCAAGAACTTCATTAGTTGTTGATCATTTCCTTTATTCTCCTACATTAAACATTTGATTCAAGGGATGGATTGTAAAGAGAAATTAGAACTGTGGACAAGCAGGATATGCAACCCAATACCTGATAGTCCCATGCAAGGCTGTCTGGACCCAGGCCACACCCAGTGGGGTCTGCACATTCAATGTACTCTGTATCTGGATCCAGACAAGTCAGTGTACCATTAGTGCCATTGTAGACTAATGCTGTGACCTCAGCAAGGCCTTCAACCTTGGATGATGCACTTGCCATCATTTTACATGCCAAGTTCACAGGATGCCCAGGAAGTGGAGCCAGGAAGTCTGTAGGGTAAGGATAATCACCCATGGCTAGGGTTGTGAAAGAATTGCGAATCCAGCCTAACATGTGAGGGATCTAAAATGAAAACAAAAAATAAATAATTGGTGAAACAATATATGGATGAGGGTCAGAAGGGAAGACATACAGCAAGATTTAGGGAGACAGTTAAGCACCAATAATAATAATTATAACATCAATAAACATTAAATAATAATAATAATGATAAAAATAGTACTACAACTACTACCAACTATTACTAATTATGATAATAAACAGCAACAATAACATCAATGCTGGAATTCAGCAAAGGCACACCTACAAGAAAGCTCTAAATTCTATGTTTTTCAGGTAAAATTTTAAACAAAAATCAAGCACAAACTCAAGCCACACGCTCAAACTCACAAAATCAAGCCATGTGTGACACCAGACTGAGAGATATCAGGAAGAAATGGAAGAGTGAGACTGGGTGAGAGAGGGAGGGGAACATAAGCTAAGTAAGAGGAGTAAAGTAGCACTAGTCTAGGAGCATGACCAAGACATCCGACCAGCCCATGCCCAGACCTCTGCTGTTTCAGAGCACACCAACAACATCAGACACCAACTGCTTTGGAATGAGGTTAAGTTGATTGATTGTGATCCTCACTGGTACACTCGAAGGGTCAAAGAGACAATTCATCTAAGACTTTACCCAAACAATGTCAACAGGGACAGTGGAATAAGAAAATCCTGAAGCGTAGATGCCCATTATAAAAAGAAAAAACAAAACAAAAAAAAAAAAAAAAGTACAACCAGAGAGCCATATGACGGCAGACCACCAAGGGAACAACTCACAAACATCAAGGATCAAAACCCGCAAATCATAGCAGTGGAAAAAACCAACCAAATACAGTAGAGCATCCTGCTTTATAAAAAGACCTGAAACCAGTCAACCTTGTCACCTGATGAAGACTAGCAGTATGCAGTCAAAACATCCTGATCTACATCATAAGTGATCACATTGAGAGACAAACGATAATACTTTATTACTATAGCAGTGATGTAGTAAATAGGCTAACAGATAGTTACAATGTAATAATAAAATCCTACTTCCTATGACAAGTGTTATCATAGTTTTTGAGTGATGACCAAATAATCCTTACCTGTTCTGTTGACTTTAGCGGTTTGCAGAGTTTAAATATTTTTGAGAGTTCAGCAAGTCCTATAAAATGAAGAAAGAATTTCAAATAAATTCAAACTGAAATAGAACTCCACACCAGTTTCACTCACAGAGAATTATTGATCTCCAAGTATAGAACAACATGAACATCATGTACTGTCATTCATACATGCCATAATGTAGGATGTAACCAGCCCCTTGTCATATTTACCCAAATAAATGACAGTCACTCACTCAGACAGCTTGTTCAAAAGGAGTCTGATTCACTTACTTAATGTACTCCTTAATACTAACCCTTTACACCCCAACATCAGTAAGAATATTCTCCATACTATTCTCTATACATTTCCTGAAGCACTGACAAGGAGAATTTGTTGAAAAATCAAGAGCTTTATATGTAGGTGGTCATTTCCTTGATTCCTGTGACCTTAATGTTTGATTCAGGGGTGATATAATTGTAAGGAGAAATTAGAATCTGGTCACTCTTAGGGGTTAAAGGGTTAAGGAAAAGAGGATGACAAAGTAATGAGGCAATTTCCTCCTGCAATAGTGCGGCACACTCATCCCTCACAGTAGGAGTATTACCTGTTCCCCAGTCCCCTGCCTAATACCAGCATTCCAAATTTCCAACTTAAATACAGCAAAAGATGTAAATCCCTTCATTTTCAAGATTTGATGGGTATTTCTCCCTTGGAGTTCCTACTCATTTTCTTTTAAATTGTTAAGAGAGTTTAATATTAGGATAACACATTTGATATAACCTATTTTCGGGTTTTTACATTGTACATTAGATTTTGAGGGTTAAGCAACTCCATGGATTTCCTACAGATAACTCTGATTCATTTTACCTTCTGCACCTTGATTTTTCAGCATCTCAATCATTTCAAAAGCTGTAATAACATAACCTGGACAATTGGCATCAGCATTTAAAAAGTCCTTGCAAATAAATGACATAATTATATTACTAAAATCAACAATATAGACATAGAAACAAAAGTCTGGCCATTTTATATTATATACATATACTATACATAATTTTGCAGTTATTGTTGAGAGTTTTTCTTTTGTTGATATCATTAAAAACAAACAGAAATTTTAGATATCATCCAATAGGAGCAATAATGTCTAGAATTGAATCAAATAACAACTTGTTTTTTCATAATGTCCTCCATTACATTCCTGAGAAAGGAGAAAAATTACTGTGACTCTCTCAAATCTTTTACTATTGACAAATGCTGACCTTTAACTCCCAGATCTCATTATTAATTCTCCTTACTATAAGCTATACAATTCTTATGATGTTACTTTGGAGAATTTCATGTTGGACCAACTGATAGTCTCCTCTTTGATATTTTCTTCAGTCTTACCACTTGTCTACTTGATATTGAATTAATATTGTAAGGAGACATTTTGTTTTGGTCACTCATGGAAGTTAAATGTTTAGTGAATCAATTGTTTCCCTGATGTTATGGAGAGGATGACTAATTATCAACCTGAACAAGAGATAAACCTGAAAAAGTTGAAATGTCAAAAAGAAAAAAATTACCATTACCTCTGTCACTGCAGTGAAGAAAAAGTCTCTTTCACTTCCACGGAAAGTGGTCATGTAAATTGGAGCACTGGCAGCCAAGGCAACATCTATCACATTAGGATATTTAAACCTCATGTAAGCACTCAGCATTCCACCATAACTGAAAACCAATCAAGGACAAATTAATGATACAGGATATTTCTTAAACTAAATGTAACAAGTCTCAGTTCAATCCCTCTTCTTGGTCTCCAATTAGGACCTATATTTCCTTTGTGTGCACATTAAAAAATATCACATTTATGGTGCTGATCGTTTGTCGGCATATAATTTATTTTCAATATTAACTCATCCTCTGACACAATTCAAAATAATTTGGAATTTGTACTCATCCCAGAAGCGTTCAGATATTCAAATTTTGTATGGAAACAAACTGGAATCTTGTTATTGGAAAAGAGTTTAGACTCCTTGCTAAGATGTCTTTTGAAAGTCAAAAAAAAAGGAAAGAAAGTCAATAATTGGTCAAAGCACTTTACAGTCTAATAGACCTTGATGAGTTACTTGGAAACCAAATTATAACAATTATATTAATGTTGTAGTTTCTGCAAAGGTGATCTTAATTGCTGTAACTTTTCTTTGTTAAGTTATTTCAATGTACCTGCCACCAAAAGCAACAACCTTACTCTCTGTGGCCTTAAACTGAATCTTAAGATCAGTCACTAGGACAGCATAGTCTGCAAGGGCTTGCTCCACTGAAAGGTAACCAACTTTATCATGATCAAACGAGGATGAACCAAATGGAAGGGAATCTCCATAGTATCTCTAAAAAGGGTGAAGACAGAGTACAACAAATTATAGCTAGAAATCAGAGGATCAAACATTTAACATTCACACAAAGTATCCTTGTGTACTCACATGTTCACCAAAAATAACCAAAGCATTGAACTTCTGAGCTGCTTCAAAAACAAAGCCTGAGTTTTCCCAGAAACCAGTTATTGGTCCTTCATTGCCAGTGTAAAAGAAAATTGGTCCTTTTTCATCCCAATACTGATCTGTGAAAAAACATTCCGCACTAAGTTTAACGAATGATTAACACTGAAAAGCTTTTCATGCTGTCACAAGTTGTATAAATCCTCATATGAACTTGAAGAGAAGTTTCAAGGCTGGTACTTCCAGGCATATGAAAGATAAAGTGAGAACCATGGAGGGCCCTCGAGGGATGGGTACAGCTGCTCATTTCTTTTCCTTACTTCAACGATTAATTGCTTGTTTTTTCTCTTTCTTTACAAGCCAATAAGCACAACAATAAGAATATAGGCTGAAGGCTAGTGAAATCAGGTGCAGATTGAAATGGTATTTCATGGATGCCCCCTTCTTAAAAAAAAAACCCCAACAGCAGTCAAAAAAACTAAAATGTGACTTGGTTACAACGTCCATTTAACAACGAATCCTTTGGCCCTGGGGAGGGGAGGGGGTCGTTAAAGCTTTAATGCTTCTAATTGAACTTCCATCACTTCTGTACCGCTTTAAATTAAATGACTCTGCTTCAAGAACTCAGCTTAGATATTCTCAGAAGCATTGCATATTTCTAAAATTCAACTGGGCCAAGCACTTTAAATCCATAGGGGAGAGTGGTGATTAATCGTTCCAAAAACTTACGTAATCTCACAGAAAGTGAACTTCAGAAATATACTTAAGAAAGCTTTAAAAAGGAGAGATAAAATTTAACCAGGCTCTGCGACAAAATGAACAACATCGTGCAGCTTCACCTCCAAAGCTCCATCCGTGTCAGAAATTATGGTGAGCGCCTTACCTGTATAGAGATATCGCTGTTTAAACGTGACCTTATTGGCTTGAACGAAGTTGAAATGATCGAGATCTTGCTCTAAATAAGCTGTCTTGTAAGGAACTGTAGCCCCCACAAGGACAAAAAGAGAGGAAACCACAAGAAGAAACTCCGAGCAGCCAGCCATCTTTGAGTTATTAAAGATAAACCTACACGTGAGGGTCTTGTGACAAGCTAACTGGCCTTGAAGAATGTCCGAGTCCGCGTGACCATTCAACCTGTCACGTTACGAAGACCGATAAAACATCACAGTAACACGGCGGATCATTTAATTATTACATCGGAGAAGTATCCTAGTTGTCGAAGGAGAATATTCTCTATTCCAGCGCTTTTTCTACTGGTTAAAACTTGAAAGAAATACTGTAACAATTGCTTACTCCACTTTTTTAGGAGCAAGGGGGAGTGGCAGGATGGGGAAGGGGGGGGGGGGGGAGTGGGGGGCGTTACGGGACTAATGAGGCTGCCAAAGAAATTTTATCCAGAATTTCTGATTGTCTGTGGGTCAGATATCCAACCCTGCCTCAGCACTCCTTCCCCATCCCTTCCACCCCAGCTTGATTTATTGATCACATGAACTCATTCACGTGTGAAACAAACCCAAGGTGACTCCAGGTAGTATTAACCCTATACAAGACAGTCTCGTGCTTCAGTCCCTAAAATCACTCCGCAAAACAATTTGAAACTTTGAATCTTCTATGTGGTCATCGCTGTTAAATCAAGCAACCAGGATCAGTTTCCTTCCCATCCTTCCCATAGGTCCCCCATAACCATTTTCGATATTTGACCATTGGTAAGATGTTACTTAATCCAAAAAAAAAAAAAAAAAAAGGAAAGAAATGAAAAAAACGCAGTCTTGGAGTTAGAAGAGAAAACCAAACAAAAATGAAATAATTGCACATTCTGTACCACTTTTTGTCAAAATGTCTTCACATCAGGAGAAAAAAAAGTTGAAAAAAAGGAATGAATTTTTCTGAACATGTATTTTACCATCAAATGGCCATTTTTGAGGGTTGGTTTCACTGAAGCAAAAGAGATTCCTGACAACTTATTGAGGCATGTTCACCATTATTTAACATTTAAGACTCTGAGCTGATATCCCTCCTAAAAAGGGAGGAACTTATGAAATCACATGGCTTAGAAAGACCAACCCCTCTCTTCCCTTCCAATTTCAAAATTCTTTATCACTAATATTTTAAGAATATCATAAAAACCCAGCCCCTCTCAACTTATGGGCAGAACATGTTTCCAGATATGGTTAACAATAAAGTTTGAAGCTAGAGATCCAAGAACTACAACCACAGTTGTTAAAAAAGTACTTTATTTCTAAAAAGAACTTTAATGGTATGAAATGTAATGAATATAGGGAAATTGAATCCTCCTTTGTACCCTCAAAGTGTGTGAGCATTGGAGCTGCAAGCCATAGATAAAAGTTGCAAAACTGTAACTTTTCTTCTTCAAGACAAAATGAAATTATTTACAAAATCTAGAGGTCTACTGATTTGAAACTCAAATGTCAAAACATAAGGTCAGAATTTTAAGTGGCCAAATTATCTATATTTTGCAACAAGTCACATTGTGATAATGTGGAAAAGGAGCCAGACTGCAATGAGTTAAGAATGCCCCACAAAAATCTACCAAAGGATGTCTTACCTATTATCATATGTAACAAGAAAACAAGGTCTTATCTTAACCCTTCAAGTCCAAGAAGAGACCAAAATGCAATAATTTTGAGCTAAAATATATTTACATGTTTGCCTTATCCATTGAGTTAGTAGTGAAAAAAGATTTTTTCACATGAGCCCTTCCTAAATTCTGAGTGACACATGAACAGCAACCAGGGTACTTTCTGAACCCTTTACACTCAAACATCAGTATGCATATTCTCCATACTGTTCTCTATACATTTCCTAAGGTGCTGACAAGGAAAATTTATTTAAAAATCAAGAGCATCTTTGGATGGTGGTCATTTTCTTTATTCTCATGACCTCAATGTCTGATTTGGGGGTGATATTGTAAGGAGAATTTAGATGCTGGTCACCCTTAGGGGTTCAAGGGTTAAAGCAGGAAAAGAGAAAGGACCCTAGAAACAAGGTTGGGTCTTTCATTCCTGTAAAGGGATCTGATCACAATTTTTGATATGATGTTTTATTCAAAATATTTTGGTTTGAAAATAAAATCTAAGAAATGTGAGCCAGTGTAAGTCAAATATTAATCAGCTAAAAAAAACACTGAGTAAAACCCTCAAAGATTGTGAAAAAGTTACCTTGTCAAGCACCTGAGAAACATATTAAAAAACAAGTTATTTCCATAGAGGTTTAGCTCAAGAGTACAATTTAACTTTGAACATGGACATCTGTTCTAGAATTGTTCCAAATATTTCTAATTTCACACTGAGACAATCAAAGTTTGCGAGACAACCCAGAAGTTTATTCACCCTGCCTTCTACTTCAGGAGTGAGCTGCTGATTATGGAAAATAAATTCATATTTTAAATGAACAGATCATCCTCAACAAATGTTAGCCTACGTGTGGCTGTACCCTCCCCCTCAAAGTGAAACAGCACAAGCAAGGGAACAGGAGGGAAACAAAGGAGGGTTCCCTTGTTTCCATTTCGCCTTGGCGGGGGAAGGGTACCATCTCGCTTATAACACCTCACAGTTGTAAAGACATGCAATGCAACGAAAGCACGAACAATGCAAATCCAGAGACGAAACGCACATTTTTTTACGCACACTTTTCAAATATTAACTTAGGAAAGTTTAACAAAATTCCCTGATTGAATGGGCTTCTTCGGAAGAAGTAACCTTGAATTAGCAAAGAAGAAGAGCTTTATGCCAGTTTAATTTCCAGTCGGCGCAAACGTTGCAACCTCAGCACATTTGAAAGGCCTCACGAACGCTGGAATCTGATATTTCAAATTTGTATGTTTTCTCACGATAAATTGCTTGAGAACAACCTACACATTTGAAGATACCAAAGGTATCTTTACATCTAGAAGTGGCATCGAACAGGTCCTGAAACGTAAAAAAATCGTAATTCCTCAATCGAATACCTTTAATAACTGACGCGCATGTAAACTGCTGCTGATTATTGCCACTGGTTTTCACTGCTAAAAGCCTCTAAAAGGAGTGACCACAACTTCTCCGGTGAACCAATCACTTGAAGACATGATTGCGAGCTGAATAAATATTGAACTCAACCCATGATTGACGCAAACGCTCCCTAGCAAGGAAGTCAATTCAGTCAAAGGTATGCTAGGAGAAAACATTGTTATGGGCATGCGTAGTTGTAAATTATTTTGGTCACATGATGCGGGCAGTTGCCTAACAACGTCTTCTGGGGGTTAGAGGAGCACGGTACTGGAATGCGGTTAAATGATAGCCTACATATGCCGACACTCATTCGAGAATATTACAACAAAATGAAACAGACGGTTCATCATTACTATAGAGAATTACTCATGAAATTTGGAGTTACAATTTGGTGATCAGCTATAACTGCATGTTTGGGGGTAATTTCCTAATTTCGTACATCCTTCAATTTTTTTCAAAACAAAAGAGCACAGTCAGAACACTGGCCCACAAACGTATTTAAAATAATTAATCTGTGTCGCTTTTAATCCTCATAGCCTCTCTTTTTCCCAACATAGTGATTGCTCCAAGCACATCTACTGTTCAACATGCCTTACTCAAATTTTCTTCACTTCAGCACAATTACTTAACTGTTTAAGAGGAATTCATTTAAAATACGGGTGATTCTATTCTCAGAGGTATTGCATACTTTTAAAACTCAGTTCGATCACATGCTGGCTAAGAGTGGGATAGCTGTTTTGTTTGCTTGAGGGGATCATTAGTTCCAACAAATTATGTAATCTCACGGAAGGTGAACTTTGTAAATATACTAAAGTAGAACCTGATTTCTCACAGTGTCGATTACATCAGCTTTGGGAAAGAGAGACATAAGATTTAACCAGGCTCTCTAACAAACTGAACAGCTTTACCTCCAAAGCTCCATCTGAGTCAGAAATTACGGTAGGCGCCTCAGTAAATACCTGTATAGAGATATCGCTGTTCAAACGTGACCTTATTGGCTTGAACGAAGTTGAGATGATCGAGATCTTGTCCAAAATAAGCTGTCTTATGAGGATAGTAGCCCCCCACGACAACAAAATTAGAGGAAACCACGACAAGAAACTCCGCTTAGGGAGCCATCTTCGTACAAAGTTGCACGTAAGGGTTTTGTAACAAGCTAACCTTTAGATTGCGTGACTTTGGGTGACGAATCATTCGACCTGTCACGTCACCGAGACCACTGAAACATCATTATAATAGGGCTGATTATTGGATTAAAACAAACAAAAACGCGTACACAAAAACGAGAAAATGTAGGTGTTATTATCAAAAAGTTTATTGTTCTTAAAAAGACACTCATCAACAGCATTAAACCAACACAAGGCCTTTGAATCTCATCCAAGTCTCATGTCTAGTCTCTGGCTATTGCATGAAATCATTAAAATTCAAATTCCTTCATAAGGTCTAATTCGTAATTAGCATGTTTCGATGCTCCATGTAAATTTTATTTGAAGTTGTGCAACATAAATTGACTTTTCTTTGAAATGCTATTTCTTTTTATACATCACAAAATATGACAGGTCTGGTTATTATAATTGAATTGATGCATAGGAAAACATTATTAAGAAAACTGTAGTTATTGTCCATTGAGATTTATAATGTTGCTCTAATGTAAGAATTTTTGGATTAGTTCCAGTTCTTGTTTTCGTGCTTGTGTCACTGCTGGAGGGTCCAGTGGATTGGAAGCTCTGAATATCAAAATTATATACATCAGTAATTAATAAAACAGAACTAGTAATAATTATCAGAAAACATTGTGAAAACCAGCTTGAAGCAGATGCTTTTCTTTTAAACCTACATAGCAATCTACCAAAGGAGATCAGGAATCACTGATAAAAGTTTATCCTTCAGGTAAAAATCTCATAATAAATTAATAATAAATTCAAAAAGAAACAAACTTAAAAATGAAGGTTGCACACCAGGAAGAATGAAGGAAATCTCCAAATAGGAATTTACCACCCAATGTGCTCCAAGATCTCAGATAAAATTCTCTCAAACATCATCATATGTTTAGATATTGGCTAGAGTAGAGACATTG